TTTTTTCTTTTTTTTTTTTTTTTAATTTTCTCTTTCTTTTTCGATTATTTTCTAAAATATTTTAAAAATTTGTTGAACCATTATATGAAGGATTATTTTATTAAAGCGGAAAAATTCCTTTCAATTTTCAGGTAATGCCATTAGTGAAAGAATTTTGCATGAAAAATAATTTACCCTATATGGTAAATGGATATTTTGAAGGATGGCTGATGGAAATTCAACAGATGGCTGCTATTGGAAAATTAGCTCAACGAATTTATCATCAAAATTAAAGCATATAAAAAATGAGAAAAAATAAATAAATAAATGAATAATGAAGCGATAAAATTTACATGATATGAAAACTGATACATGTTTTGATAATAAATTGTGGTGAAAAAAAGTATTGTGACAAAATAACAATTCATTATCACAAATATTTCATTATCAACTTTTGATATATTAGCATGTTGAATAAATCTTTTTACAAAATTTTCCATACAATTTCAAATTTCACCAACAAATTTATTAATTATTATAACAGTCTAATGGAACAAAAATGTTTATGAGTTTTTTTTTTTGCAAGATATCATAAGTATTATTAATGAATTAATACGTTAATGAGATAATTTTTTCTTTTTTTTTTTTTCATTATTTTTTATCCTTTTTTTTTCATCCAAATTTTCATAATTTTTAAATTTAACTTTCTTTTGTTAAAATTTTATTAAAAAAAAAAGAGAAAAAAGAAAAGGAATAATTAAAGCTACTAAAATGATCGATTATCTTATTAAAAAATTTATACAACAATTTATCATTTTTCTCTTTTGGATAGAACTATCAATGATGATGTAAATGGAGCATATTGGCCGTATTGATTGAATGGTAAAGTTTGCCATAAAATTGCAAGACAGTTCGAAGACCAATTTGAAAAATCAAACCCTCCAATATACGATCTACTATCACAGCACTCCTGTCATCTCCTCATCATCATCATCATCGATATCATTTTTACCCTATCACTTCTTCTCTTCTCTCATCCATCTTTTGTTGAAATGTTCTTCATTCTCATCATTCCATATAAATTATTTCCATTTATTTTATTTTGCTAAAAATTTTAATTAAACTTTTTTTTTTTTTTTTTTTTCAATGATATAATGATGAAATTTTCCAAATTCTTTACTAATGTCATTAGAAAATCATATCAATTTTCATTCCTTCTCTTCTCCCTTTCTCCTAAACCTCTCTTTCTGTATCCCTCTCACTCTTCCATCTCCATTATTAATATCTCTTGCATTCGCCCATTCCATGTATCACTTAGTTCGAAACCTATCATTCATTTTGTTTCATTCCTAAATTCACCATTCCTGTAATTCAAACCTATTCCTAAATTTTGAAATGTTTAGTAATTATGAAATCAAAAACTTTAAAACATTATTAATATAAACATTTCAAAAATTTTAATCCAAGAATTTGAAGATATACCCTTTCCTTTTCTTTTTTATTCTTTTTTTTCCTTGGTTATTGTCTAAATGTAGCAATTATACTAATATTTGAATTCATAGTTCAAAAATTGAACCATCATTTGTACGAATTTCAAATTTTAACCTAAAATTTGAAAATATATTTTCTGGCCATTTTCCAAATATTTTCAAAAATTTCAGCATTATTAGCGGAAAATCAAATATTTCAAATGTTAAAAAAAAAAAGAAAAAAAAAATGATAGTACTATGCATTCGCGGAATGATGACGAATAATTAATACCACTTTGATCGATGTATTTAAATTAATGGTTCCCAATTTGTGATCCACGGATCATCGATAATCTTCGAGAACTAAAATATGATCTGCAAGGTCTATTAAAAATTATTTTTCTTCTTTTAGACTACAATATTACTCGTATGTTTAACTAACATGCTAAAAGTTTTGATTGAAGTTTACTTTCAAATTAGCAAGATTTAATATTTTTGAATCTAGTGATCCTTGCTACAAATAAAAAGCGAAAGTGATCCTTAGTTAAAGAAAGATTGGGAACCATTGATTTAAAATATATATGAAAGTATTATCAGTGCATTTTTTTTTTTTTTTGCTTAAAAATATCACCATATATATTTTTGTATTTAAAATATTATCCCTTAATAGTATTGCTATAATATTTGGAAAATTTGAAAGATAGCTAAAAGTATTTTATTTCTTGAAATTTTAACTCAAACAATAGGATTCAAATGTTGATCTGTTTGTTGAAATAGAATCTATACATTCTCATTATTCATCAATTATTATTGAACAGGAAAAAAAAAGGAGTAAATCAAAAATAAGAGATTAATAGATTGTAGGTATTCAAGGTTATTTGTCAATAATTAATTATTTTTATTTGTAGGTACCAAGTAATGAATGACGAAGATGGTACCGATTTTCGGTTAAAAATTGACGATAAATGGCTAGTAATAACAAAGGATTTTCAAAGGAGGCATCCAGGAGGAAGTGTTATCACCCATTACAGGTTTGCTTACAGAATAAAAATTCGCAAGTAGTTAATTCCATTTTGAAAAATTATTAAATAACTATCGAGTAGCATAGTAAAACATCATTAACCCATTATATGGGCAAATTATACCGTGTTTCTGTTACACAATAAGATATTTTATATCGATGGTATTAAAGCTTGATTTAAAGAAGGAAAAAAAAATTTTTTGAATCACTGGGATTAAAAAATAGAAAAGTAGCAAAATTTCTAATTTTTATTCCACGCAAATTTTAGGGATGCTGATGCTACACAAGTATTTCATGCATTTCATGAAGGAAGCAAAAATGCATATAAGCAATTGGAACTGCTCAAAAAACGAAATTGTATCGATATGATAGATAGGCTTAAAACCAATAAGGGTAAGAAATATTATCCTATATTAGACTATAATATTCAGCTTTTTCTAATAATAATAATGTTAAAAATATCATCACATTTTTGCGTACAATCATTCAAAATTGTAAATTTGAGTAATAATTCAGATGACGGTTGCAGCGATGAAATAAATATATCATCTTATAATCTTCCTGAAACAAAGGTATTGTTATTTAAAATAACTGTCAAGAAGAACAGATCAAATAATTGGGTTTCCAATATGCTTTGTGATGTTAAAAACTGAAATCCTTCAATAATGAAGCTAGAATAAGTCTGAATATCGCTGTTTAGAAAATGATTGCATCTTTCAGGAAAAACAGATAGTAGAAAGTTTTGTTGCTCTGCGGAAAGAACTGATATCTGAAGGACTATTCGAAGTGGATCAAACCTACTACATTTATAAGTCTGCTGAAGCATTTGGCTTGTTGTTGTTCGCTTTCATCCTACAATATTTTACATGGTGCTTACTTTTTCAACTTCAATGATTTCAGTTATATCATTTCCGGTTTTCTTATAAAATCATTTATCGGAAATCTTACGAAAATCAGCTAAAAAATGATAATTCTTTCAGGTACTTGACTTCAGCGATAGTTTTAGCACTTTGTTGGCAACAGTTTGGTTGGTTAACCCATGATTTCTGCCATCAGCAACCAAGCAAGAATCGTCAAAACAATGATGTCTTATCGTTGATTTTTGGTAATGTCATGCAAGGATTTTCGCGTGATTGGTGGAAGGAAAAACACAATACCCATCACGCTGCGACGAACATTGTTGGACAAGTTAGTACATTTGTAACTTTGTACCGTGAAATTCTTAGTATCTTAAATCTCTTTATATAATATAACATTTATAAATAAAGGACTTTTTTTTTTAGGATGGTGATATCGACTTAGCTCCTTTGCTAGCATTTGTTCCAGATGATCTGAAAAAATACAAAACTTTGTTCGATCAATTCATCTCAAAGGTTAATATATAATTTTGTACATAATTTTTGAATTGTTCTATCCAATATTTTTAATTAGTAATGTTCTCCAGTCATTTTTCTTTACTATCAAATTTTACTAATCACGATTTAGAGTTTTTTCTTTTTTCTAGGTAATCCCTTACCAACATTTCTATTTCACATTTATGCTACCTTTCTTGCGATTTTCCTGGACGATACAATCTATACTGTTTGTTACTGGTGCGCCATACAACCAGTACAGGCAACACGTCATCAATGCCCCTGCCGAACAGGTCACTTTTAATGGGATAACCAAGAATTACTTTGAAGGGTAATTCGGAAGGAAACAAAGAAAGGAACCATGAAAACGTATTTCAAATGGAATTTTGTGAAAATATTGAACCATTCCTTCTTCCTTTGAAGATAAACAACTAATTTCTTTGTAACTATCCAAATTTAGATAATTGTTTGCACTATTCAGGTTTGCATCTTATTACATTGGTTATGGGTTATATTTCAACTCTGGCTTCTTCCTACAGGATCTATAAGAATTCTGTATTTTGCAATTAGTCAGTTAGGCGCTGGATTTCTTATCGCTCATGTCGTTACTTATAGCCACAATTCTGTTACTAAATTCCCTTGTAAGTTCATACATTTACGTCTGTTCCCCGAGATAAACATGCATGTAGTACTAGTAAACGAATATCTGGGATTAAATATGAGAAGGCAACTGTTATATATGGGGGAGTAACACCAGTATATGCGGAAATAGCAACTGGATAGACTTGAAACATAAATAATCAGTTATCATCGTCAGCCCCTTATTATCAAGTTGATGCTATGCATAACCACCACCACCTGCAATAGTAAAGTGATTCCAATAGCGGCATTGACTATAATTAACTCCCCATCAATCATTTCTATTTCAGATCAAAGCCGTTTACTGAATAATTTCCCATGTCTCCATATTCTGACAACTCGCAATATGTTACCGTCTCCGACTGTTGATTGGTTTTGGGGTGGTCTCAATTATCAGGTGACCTTTGACCAAGAATTCTTCTGTGCAACAAATGTTTGCTTAAAATAGTATCGCCACACGATTTTAATACATTTTCTGATGAGTATTTCTATATTCTGAGAAATCATTTGTTCCAGAACAAAACATGAGATTTGAAGAAAAAAAATTACATATTCCAGTATTTCAGATTGAGCACCACTTGTTTCCTACAGTACCTCGTGCGAATTTACCCCGGGTATCAGTGAAAGTCAGAAAATATTGCGAAATGAACAACCTCCCGTATTTAGTGGATAGTTATTGGACAGGATATAAATTAATTCTACATCAGCTTAAAAGCATTGCCGATTCGGTAAGCAAGATTACATGCTCCCATAGTGAAAAATTATGTGATGGTTAAAGACATTCAAAAATTTACTATCAAGCATTTCTCAGAAGCATGAAAAAAAATTTCACTTGCTAATACGATGTACAAAACAGTAACCAAAATTATTTGAGGCTTAATAAGATGCCAAAAATTATGCTACAAGCTTGCAAAACATACAAATCATCATCGAAAGCATGTATTTTTGGATTTTAATTTTGAAAGGTCTCCAAGTATCTTCTACGTTTTGAAAGGAATTGGCAGTTAAGGGCTCATTGTCATCAGATCATATCCATCAAATATGGATGAATGGAATACTGAAGCTGAAATGCGAATGGGCGTTTCCCAATGAAATGCTTCAAAAAAAAAGAAAAAAAATCCAATAGTAAGGAATCTGGATTTCGACCCAGCAGCTTCAAAAGATGAGAAAAAGAAAAATAGAAATTAACATAAACACGGACAATTCAGATCAAATACAACACATATCACCAACTAATGCACTATTAAGTTTCGAGTACGAATAAATGTACAGCAAAGGAGGAAAAAAGAAAAAAAACTTATGAAAGATTTAGGAATAATACGAACATAGGTGTAACATAAACGATCAGCAGTTCAAAATATTTTCATATCTAAAAAGCTGAAAACAAACATGAAACTTGACAGTTGGTCTATACCAACATTTGATTTAACACCTCAAAAGCAAAACTGAATAAAAATACAGGCCAAGAAAGGTAGGGACCCTAACTAGCTTATGATTTTAGCTCCAAAGATTCGAGAAACAATAAATAAATGCGTCCAGTAAAAAAACGACAGAAAACCATATCAGAAATCTGACTAGTACCAAACACTTTAACAATTAAGATGAGGGAAAAAAGAAAAAGTTATGTGGATAGCTAACTGTTTTATTTAAATACTGATATTAAAAAGATATTTTCTGCTGGTCGATGCTTGAAAGTATTTAATGTTTAATTCCAAATCGCCATAAATTGGATGGATTTTCAACACTAAGCATAGAAGCTAATATGGCAAAAATTCCCGGAAGGACTATTGCTGGTGTTGATTTTCTTCGCAAAAAAATAATCAATGCAGTGATCAACATACCGAAAATACAAGCGTAAAATGATAGAAAGAATACTTCGGTATCGTACATTTCCGCAAATTTCAATATAATATTTAGGAAAATCCCTGCAAAATACTTGCAATAATAATTGACTGGAGCTTACTCTTGATTAATTTTATTTAATACCTGAGGTTATTAAAATTTTGGTTAGAGGAGAGATCATATAAACCACGACTATCTACTATACATTTTATCAATAAAGTTATTTCGAAAGTAAATGTGTAGTATGAATTCACATTAGTTTCATGAAACTACTTCAGGAAGACGAATTTCATGAGAAAAGATCTGCTCAAAATTAGCTGATTTAAATCTTACATTTCGAAAAGCAGCTAAAAATTACCTGGAACTACAATGTCAACAGTTGAAGTCCTAACGGGTCTTCTTTCTTTTCCCACTGGAATGATTAACATAATCGGTGTACGAGAGTTCATCGTCACCACTGCTAGAATAAAAACAAATTTTTGTAATTTAATCTTATCATCACGAGAGAAACAGTTCCACGTATCCATGAATTTAGATTTTCGTTTTCTACTACACAAAAATCCAACCTTACGGATCGCTCCCTTATATGTTTACGTGCTTCGTTCCCCATCCTGTCCACCAATGAACCAAAGCATAACAATCATGAAAACCTTAGCAATGTGAAAAATAACTTCACATCTTAAAGAACTAACAGAAAAGATCGATACAGTAAAACCAAAATATATCAAACAAAATCATCCCAATGAGAAATATGAAGCCAGCGAAATAACTTGCTGTCTGAAAATAATGTCGATATTTGCATAACATAACAGAAAATTATTTGATGGAAACTTCATGAATTACCAAAAAAATTCCATTCAGTTTACAAGAACTTTGAAAGACCATCCGACCTCCGGTCAACAGTGCCTTTATTAAGTTTAACACGCCTATATCGATCTTACCTTTCTAAGCAGTGATTCAGGTAAATACTCGACATCACTATGGGAAAAAAAAAGTTGACATTAGACTACAGTATGTTATGCTGAATGATTAAAATGTAGCCACCACCTCAAATTTTATTACATCATCAAAATCTAACATTCCTACCCCTAGCTCGATATCTCACGGGAATTTATATGAAACCTTCATATCTTATACTACCTTTCAAATTATCGACACTTACTTCAGTACGTGCAATGATAATGTAACATGTTGCAATACCCAAAATATCATTAACAACCCACGTCCACTTCAGCTCATGAAAAAGTCCCAATAATATAGCGATAATCATTGCCAGTTGCTTCATTTTAGGATGATGATAATAAAACAAGTGATCTATAAATTATTTATTTGAATTAAAGTGTATCAAGAAACTGGTAAATTAAATTAAGATTTAAATCTAAACCATTGTTTAAAAAACAAGAGGGGATTAACGATGACAAAGGAAACATTTTGACAACATTTGACACCTAAACAAAAAAAATACAATATTAGATACTCGTAATTATCTAAATGAACGTAAAGAGATGAAACGAATTAAGTGCTCTATGCTTTCAAAACAACAACTGTTTAAAACAAGGCGTTAAAATTACGCTTTTTTTTTTTTTTCTTTT